TGTCGAAAGAGGAGACAAGATTGGATAAACGTGGGGCGACCATTTCGATGAAGATTTTCAAGATGAGCTCATGGTCGTGACGTGCGTTTTCAGTAAGTTGAAGATGAGGATAAAATGCGACGATCACCTCGACGATTTGGGAAGGATTGGCTTTCGTTATGAAGAGGTTGGGATCTATTCTAGGCTTGTCATCACCAACAACGTAATCAAGGATATATTTAGGTAAGAAAACATAGGATTGGACTTGAGCATATAAGGACATGATGTATAAATGCGTTTTAAAGGGGCTCAAGATAATAACGAGTAATTATAGATTGAGAGAGGGAATAACGATGAGCTTGTTGAAAATGGAAGTTAATGGATCAGAAGGTTGCCATTTTGATAAACCCTTTGATCTTGTTTTTGTAAATATAAGAGGAATCCACATGCATGTTCATACAGAGTACGTATATCTGACCACATAATTAAAGCGAGAGACTGTAGATCTCCGAAGTTAATTCAGATTATGTATTGAATTGTGTGTTTTCCCTATCAAATTCTCGCTCCATCCAAGTCATTCAAATCAAGACTGACTTGTTATGAGAATATTGGAACTATTGGAACTGATCACTACATAGCTTACGCACCACTGATTCTCACTGATCTGAACAGAAGATATGTAATATTATCTTTGTGCATTTTCAAATTCTGCACACATCACCAAATTGACACATATTGATGCAATGAAAATACTTTTGTAATCTCCAGAATCTTTATGTAATGAATATGATTTTTTGTAATATATGTGAAATCTTTACGTAATCTCTGATATACTTGAGTAATATGGCAATTTTTTGAAAAACTGACATACAGCCAAACTCGTCTGACCACTCCAACAGAATGCTTGTTCCACAATAACATTGTTCAAAGTCTAAGAACTTTAGTATGTGTATTTATGCACTACAATTTTTGTAATGAAATCAGACTTTTGTAATCTGTATTGTATTTTTGTAATAAGATCATTTTTGAAATCCGCTTGGATTACATTATATTTGGGGTAGTGATATGTACTTCACAGCATTTAGTGTACACTGTGATGTTCAACAGTAGGTGCATCTTAGCTTCACAGCAAGCTTTGAATGCTGTCAACTTCACTTCACAGCATGTCAAGTACGCTTTATATCTGCATCTTAACTTCACAGCAAGACTGGAATGCTGTGAAGTTAGGATGTTACACTTATTGTATCATGTTTAACTTCACAGCACTTTAATACGCTGAATATTACCTGGAAAGCAGACTTCACAGCATCTAGTGTACACTGTGAAGCTCTCAACTTCACAGCAAGCATTGTATGCTGTGAAGTTGATTTGAAGTTCACAACACTTCAATTCACTCCGTTTCACAGCATGTCAAGTACACTGTATCTTAGCTGGACAGTAGACTTCACAGCATGTAGTGTACACTACAGTAGCTGCATGTTAACTTCACAGCAAGCTTGGAATGCTGTGAAGTTGAAAAGAAGGTCTGGTCTCATTGAGATCATGTTCAACTTCACAGCAAGTCAAGTACGCTGTAGATTACCTTGACATCAGACTTTACCTGCTGTGAAGTGGATGGGCATGAGTTGACATTGTTTTACATGCCTGTTCAGCTTCACGGCATGTGAAGTATGCTGTATAGCATATTAACACCAGGCATTACATGCGGTGAAGGTCATGTACAATGCTTCACAGCAACCAAACTTCACGTAATGAATGTAAGCTGTGAAGTTCAGCAGATAGATCAACTTTACCTTTCCTCATGGACTTCACAGCCCCCACACTTCACAGCATGGTTTCAGTGCTGCAAACTATAACTACAGCTCTGAAGTGCGCATAATGTGCTGGGAAGTTTTTCTGTGGAGTGGATCAACGCAGGCTGTGAAATTCAATTACTTGAGGTACAGTTGTTGAACAGAGTAAGCACTTATGGTATCATCATTTCATTCATATTAAAGGCGAACAATGGATTCCAACAAAATCGACAAATGCAAACAAAATCGACAAATTCTGCACATTTTAGCCGTAGAGATCCAAGTTTTGACCAGCCGAAGTTTTGGCTTCGGGATGATTACTTTCAACTTTCTTATTATTCTCTGCCAGTTGACACTACTTGATATCAATAAGCCAACATTACACTACTCGCCTTCTCGCCCGGCCTGTGATTTACTCAATATCAGCACTATGGACATTATAAGCAGCCTTCACACGTCAGTATATTCATTTGATTTCAAAACTCAAGAGATGATTTGATAATTGTACTAATTTATAAATTCTTGAATAGGGATTTGTTGTTTTTTTTGTACAAAACTCCGATCAATCATATATCACTCAGTTCATCAATATCTCAAAAGAACAAACCATTGGAAAAAGGAAAGAAAACATTTAATATGGAGGATCACTCAATACTAACTAGCTGGGTATTTCAATCCACTTCATTTTTATGTAACATATCACATAGAAGCAGCTCAAAATTATCGGAAAGAACTTTTAATCGCACTTAACTTTGATAATCTACCTCTCCTACAGCTTTCGGGTTCTGAGGCAAAGTACTTGCTTCAATTTCTCATCTTGCACGTCTTACTGTGGTAACCAAGACTTGGGACACCAATTCCGGATGGAAGTGAGTGTTGTCATTGGATTTTTTATCATTTTGTGAGGATGATTGTAGCAACTAACATTCAATAATCCTTCAAAGATAAGGTACCAACTGAGACAACTTTTCTTTTGTCCAATTTGATTCCAGCACTTTTTGGCGAGCTCAAAGCCACATTCTTACAACCATTGAGTGGAATCAGCCGCAAATCCTGCAGATGGAACAGGTGCTTGAGATGTGATTCTAGAACGATCGACTTCGAATTTGTTTAGAAATTGAGTGGATACGGGAAGAGTAGATCTTTGAATGTGACATCTGTTGACGAGTTTTGGGATAGGAATCAATCAAATTCAATCAACTTCAACTCTCATCACAATCGGTCACGAGCAACTTTCTCAATACCACTATGTTTATACGCCATCTGGCAACACCCCAGTCTCGGCACGGCGTCCATTGGGGTCAATTTGTTGTTCAATAGAACACCTTTTACAACTCGCGGCTGAGGTATAAGTCTTAACTGGCTTCATCATCAACAATGGTTGATTGCTGTGTTGCACCAACACCACAATCAAGGAGTGACTACAGGACTCCCCAAACGAACAGATCGACGTGAATGAAGTAGGTAGATTTGTTTTTCCAAGCTACCATTCGATTCCAATCGATTGGAGCTACAGGTTTGCCACTTGCTGATGAG